AGGGTCCCACCTCCATCCAGCATCTTCTTAGCAGCCTTTTCTCACCTCCCCCCCCCCCCACAGAGGTAGGATTAAATCGGCCATCTCCGCACCGCGTCCCTCAGGGGAGCTGGGTCCAGCCCAGGTTCTGGAGACAGATGGCAGGCGTGATTTTAAGAAAAAGTTTTGCAAGATGTGAGAGCTCCCTTTTAGTCGGCAACAAAGAATGCGGGAAAGAAATGAGCTAGGACCCAGCAGGAAATTTGTGAAGAAGGCTTGTGGCTGTGAAAGGAGACCGAGGCCGGTGGTGTTAAACCAGGGGAAGGTGGAAGGGGGGGGGGTCAGACCCAACACCCTGCCCTGCAGCAGCAAAGCCTGCATCATTCCTTGCCCCCGTGTTTTGGGCTGGTTGGGCAAGGCTTGTCCCCATCTGGTGATGGTGGGACAGGTGACAGGAGAGATTTGGAAAGGTAAGTGCCAAGCAGAACTATTAGACGTAGCTAAAATAATGAGGCTGCCGAAAAGAAGCTGAGCCCAAGGTCCTCTCCATCAGCACAGCTTAGTCGAAGGAAGCAGCTCGCAGAGGTTCATCAGTGGAAACTTGTGCTAAGCTCAGCCAGATCCACCAGAGAGGCTTCACCAAGCGAGGGAAGACCTGGAAAACCAAAGGAGATGTGGACCTGCTGAAACTGAAGCTCTGGGGACACACCGACAAGCCCGGTGTCTTCAGCCTGGGCAGCAGGGAGAGGCTGCAGGGTCACGGCAGGCGCTCAGTGGTGGCATCGGCATCACCGATGGTGGGAAGTGTTGGGCGCTCCCCAGCCCCACAGCCACCCCGGGCTGCAATTGCCCTGGCATTGGGTAGGGCCATCCTGCAGGGTTTCTTTTTCCAGCGGATGGGAAGGAATGGGAGCATTTTAAACGGCTGCCTCAGCTGGGCAACCGGGAGATGGGTGACCAGGAGTTGGGTGACTGGGAGATGGGTGACCGGGAGCAGCATCCCAGTGATCAGCAGCTGGGTGGTGCTCATAAAACCTTTGAGGCTCCTGCTGATTGCAGCATCTCAGAGAACCTGCACGAGGAAGGCATTAGGGCAGTAACCTGTAGCTCGTGTTTTGCTGTCGCTTCTATTCATTCATCGGGATCTCCTGAAAGCCTCTCCGAGACGAGCCAGAAGCTTTTGGCTTCAGATTAGAAATGAGACCTTGTGCCTCCTCTGGTGACCTCCAGACACATCCAGAGCTGGAGACAGGAAGGAACTGAGAGCTCATGAATGGGGAAGCAGCAGGCATTTTATGGAGGAGACTGTTTGTGTCCCTTATTAACACCACCACTTAAAGCGCTTCCGCATCTCCAGAAGCAGCTGGGTTGCCCTCTCAGAGCACCTGTGTTTTGCAGGCTCTCAAATCTTGCCCAAGTGCTTCTGTCTGGCCCAGATGAGCTCAGCTGGAGTGTGTTAATCCCCAAAGAGCCAGAGGGGTCATCAGCCCTTCATCAGCTGCAAGGACTGGGGAGGGATGTGTCCCATTAGTGACCCATGCATGGGAGGAGGCAGCGCAGTCTGGATGGACCAGGAATAGCTCACAACACCCCTCCCTGCCTCTTCAGCTAAGCATAGGAGATGGTTTTATTTTTCTCTTGTTCTTAAAACCTCTAACCCCTGTGCTAGACAGAAAGGTTTCACAAGCACAGCCTCAAGGGTCAGAAAAGCAAAAGCAGTTCAGCAAGGAAAGGATTTGAAGAATTTAGCTGGTTTGTATTTTATTGGCTTTTATAGGGCAGCCGGTGGCTGTCAGCTGCTCGGGGCGTTGAGCTCGGGCAGGGGAATGGCCACCGTCGGACCGCTTCGGGGTGCTGAGCCCCAGCACTGCCAGCGAGTGCTGCAGGTCACGGCCGTCCTGGGGCTGCCCGTTGCAGGAGCGGGGAGGCAGAGGGACATTCCCAGCGGGAAGTAAAGCGGCAGCAAACTGGAGGAGGAAAGCAAGGGGAGAGGACTAAGCTGCCTGGTTGCTTCGCCGTGCAGCTGGTACCCAGGCACGGCGTGCTTTGCTCGCCCAGAGCAATCGCTTCTGCCAAGAAATTGTAAAGCGAGCTGCTGAAGGAGGGGAGCAAGAGAGGGAGGACCGGCACGGCCCAAGTCAGAGCGAATACAGGCACCGCTCGCCTCCCTGGGCCCTCGGGGGCTGACCTGCACTGGCGCTGTAAGGAAAGCTCAGCGCGGCTGGATGTAAGTATTTAGCAATATCTACGTGCTACAAGTTGCTCTGTCTCTGGATGCTGTCGCCATCTCTAGTGACCGATAGTTACACCCCTGCGCACAGTTTCTGCAAACGAGCCCCATGATCCATCGAGGCAGGGGTGAGACCTCCCAGGTCCCGTTATGTCAGGGCTTACACCCCGCTTGCAAGGGCTCGCAGTCTGGTGACCTGGGATTGGGAACATCATTTCAGATCTGTTATGTCCTGCCTGGAGGAACAGAAGCTGCTATAAATCCCTTTGCATGCAACAGGAGCCGAGCAAGGGGGCAAAGGGACGATTCTGGCTCTTCCTAGAGGAATCGGAGATGGGGAGCAGCCTGCCCCGTGCCTGTGCTGCGGTTTGAGGCTGAGGGCAAGGCAGATCCGCGGGGCTGGAGCTGGGCCTGGGCTCGGGAAGCGCCCGTCCTGCTGGGATCTGGCTGGGATGAAGGTGCCGTGCCAGCATCCACCCCGGCTGCGGTCCCCACGGCTCCACGCGTGGCGGGGGCTGCTGTGCTCTCTCCTGTCCTCCTCAGCCCGGTGCTGGAGGGCTGGGGGCTGGCAGAGCACACAGCCCAAGATGAGCAGCCGGAGCCCGGGGCAGGGATGCTCCTCACCCAGCAGACAATTACTGCTTGCAATATCGCTCTGTGGCTTGCTGGTGCCCTCTGCAGTTGTTTCTCCTTATTGTAAATGCAAAATATTAATAATACAAAGGGACAATTTTATTACTTGATGACAGGAAGGGAGGACACGCGCCTGTCTTCCCAGGTTTGGAGAAACATGGTACGGTGCTCAGGCACCTGCAATCCTACCCGATGGGACCCTCCTTGTCCTCTCCCTCCTCTCGCACGCAGGCGGCGTGACCTGCTCGCTGGCTGTTTCCCCGCTGCCACGCGGTACAGCTTCTCCAACACGGTGACTCCGAAAACCTGTGGCCATGGTGGGAGTGCAGCGAAGGCTCTGCCCACCCCGGTCTGCAGGGCAGCAGCAACAGGGACGAACAAGGCTCCCAACCCCAACTGAACCGGGAATTGCTGAGAAGTGCAGCGGCTCCGGAGCTGCCTCTGGAGCTGCCGGAGCCCAGCCCTGGGGAGCCACCTCGCCGTCCCCGCCGGCAGTGCCCTTCATTTGAACTTCGTTTCCTTTTGCGAAGGAGTTTGATTTCTGAATTTTCTTTTAAAAAATCAAATCCAGAATAGAAGTTGTCTTTAGGGTCTTGGGGCCTTAAGTGGACATCTCAGAAGAACAGCTGAACCCCCCCAATCCTGATAACCTTCCGGTGATGCAGCCTGAGGCTGTACACAGGCACCCAGCAAAGTACCAGGCGGCTCACCCGAGACGAGGCGCTGCGTATCTCACGGGCACGGTATTTCACAAAACCTCATTGCTCCCAGCAGATATCTTCAGTCTGAAAAGAAAACATCAACCCCCTCGCAGGAGAGCGAAATAAAGCAAGTTCCAGCTGACAGATAACGCCAGCTCACGCTCGCAGGCTCATTTAACGCATCTCTGTAAGGTATTTATATATATATTTATTTTTATAGTAACCCCTCCAAAACAGTATGGGGATAACGCAGATGTGTGCCCCCCCTGTGCCAGCAGCGCTGCACGCTCGTTCCTTTTCCCCCCAATTCCAGAACGTCAGCCAGGCTGCCCCCCCGGGAAAGTGCACTCTGTGCAGGGATGCCGCCTCCTCCCCTCAGAGAGAAAAGTCAGTTTAGATTTCATTTTAAAATGGAAGCAGACACTCTTCTGTATGAAGTATTATTCTCTTTTAACCTGACTTTGTGCAGACTTGCAGACATTGCCTTGAAGCTGTTTTGGATACGACGCATGGCAGCAATCTCACGGAGCAACACACGAAAACAAAACTTGCAAGGAACAGTGGAAGTGTCACACTACATCACGGTCAAGCAATGAAAAAGTTTTTGGAATAAGAGTTGTATTAGAAGTGCTGGGCTGATAACAACAAGCACCTACACGGAATAAATCCTTCATATTGAACTGAACTGCTAACTGCATTTACTGAAACTACAATTTGCCACGGTTACCGTCTAGCTAGCTTATTAAAGAGTGAACAGTGGGGAAGCAAAACATTGCTCTTGTTCTGTACTTCTGTTTAATGGCATGGCACAGCAAAACTGGTAACCTTATCATAGGAAAACATCTCCACCTGCTTTTCATAGAAAAGAAATCATCTTACAGAAGTAATTACCATTTAATGAGTCTTCCCAGCTGGAAAAAAAAAAACCAAACAACCAAAACCCAAAAAAAACCCCAACAGAAAACCCTGCAAAATGCATCTTTTAGGACACTTCATGATAGACCATTCCAGCAGGAGTCTAAATACACAGGTTTTAGGTTTTGCCCGAAGTGGGATTTGAAAAAAAATTGGTCCATTGCTTCATTATTTGTTTTAGGAACAGCACCAAGTTTTCAGTTTCCCATGCAAACACGAAGCAGCTAATTCCCTTCACATTCTGCTGAACACCTGAGGTAGGGGACATAGCAGCATCCCACATCTAAGCCTACATCTAATTACACTTTAGAGAAGCATCTGTAGAAAGTGCTGCTTAAGGGCACACGCACCTCCCTCAAGCTAAATTCAGAGCGAGCAACGAGGATGCAGAGGCTTTTGAAATTCACTTAAAATTTAATTAAAGCTGAGTAACTGAAGTTAAAGTAATTTGCCACACACACACACTAGAACTGATGGTTCTGCAGATGTAAGCTGCAGAAAAAGGGATTGTTCTCTCTCCCCCCACCCCCCATTTTTTTTTTTTCTTTTAGAAACTTTGGCACTGGAAGTAGGGAGATTGCGAGCGCTTGTTGGCACAGCTGTGACACGGGTCAGGATACTGTTTTACAGAGGGAAACATTTCCCCCACCGTTTATAATGCATAGCCTAGCTGGAGTCCATTCAATCATCTCATGCCTTCAGGAAAGCTTTATGTGGCTTATTATTAAAATGGTTACAAATCCCCAAAATCTCAACAGATGTTTGCACTGAACTCCAAGGATTTCTCACGGCTTAACCACATACAAGCCCACTAGAGTGATCACTGCTTCATGGAGGAACAGCTCCCTAAATCTCTCATGAGCCACCGTGGGGGATAACTACGAAGCACTGACCAGCTAACGCTCCCCTGGGACACCCAAAGAGTTTGTCAGGTGCCGTGGGGCTGGAGATGGGTGGCACCAGCCTTTCCCCCTGCACATCCATTCACCACTGAGGCCCTCCTGTGGCTGCATGGCAGATGCTGACCGTCACTTCCACTGGGAGAAGGACAGCTGGGCGAGGAGTATCTGCCCAATTCTTCAGGGAAAGGTAAATCCATGGTCAAATCCACAGCTGCAATGGGAACTAACCAGAGGGAACTTCTCCAGCGAGAAAACATCTGACAGCTGGCAACATTACAGACGTCCCAGATAAGATGAGCGAGGGAGCAGCAAAAAGAAACAGGAGAGTGGGAACCACGGGGATGAAGGGCTGTGGGGTTCTCTCACCTTCCACACTGCCGCTAAGTCGTAAGAAAAAGCAGGATCAAACTGGCAAGATCTTGTCCGTAGGAAAACATTACCCCGAGGATAATTATAAAGCAAAGCCTTCAGAATCAGAAACACGTATTTACAGAGAAAAAATGCACATAATTAGCAGGAATAGCGTCCCAGTAAAAATCTACCTTGTTCTAGTCCAGTGCCTTGGTTCTGAATTCTTCTTCTGAACTCATTTCAGCTTTAATGTGTTTATCAGCAACAAAGAAGTTGAATGAAATGTTTCCGTCTCTAACAGAAATCTAAAAAAAAAAAAAAAAAAAAAAAAAAAGAAAACTCCTGAACCCAGAAAGCAACACTTCAGTACAAGAATTGGTTTTATTTTTACAGTGCAGTGATTGAAACAATGTAGAAATTTAACTTGCAAAACTGAATTTATATCACAATGTCTATCAGAAGGCAATACAGATGTGTTGCTTTGTTTTTAATCATAAAATATTTCTCTGGACACCAGAAATTACAAACTCTGAACACTATACACTTCACATTATTTTAGAGACTAATTTATCATAATTTAAATCTATCTTATAAACAATTTCTTTTAAAAAACATGTGGAAGATAAAAAGAACTCAAGTATTAAACTCAAGGCCTTGATCATTATTATTTTCTTTTTTTTTTTAAACAAAGATATTTTAAGAAATGTATCAAAATGATAAATCTGGGTATTATAGCTACTAGTCAGGCTCTGTAACGCACTGCTCCACAATTTCACGCAAGTTTGGATTCTCCATCGCAGCTGCTACTCTCTCTTTGTCGTTGATTTGCTTGTTGACTGCAAAACAACCCATGAAAAGCGAAGTCAGAAGCTGGTTTTGGTGGTACGTTACACCCCCTGCACCAGTAGCACGACAGATGCTAGATACCCTACTGCAGCGAGGATTTTCCAAACCGTGTGAACGGCCAGCTGAAAGGCTGAGGAAACACGGCTGTGCAGTAAGAGTACGCTCTGCCACCTTCTTTTTCAATTTTCTTTTTAGGTGGAAGGTATTATTTGCATCATATCCAAAACTGAAATTTGTACGACAGCTGACAAAGCACTGTACAGGCAGGCATTTGAGTTGCATAGCCTAGAATAAGAAGGTTGTGCCAGACGCAACAGCAGGCCAAGACAAGAAGAGTATGAGGGTGCTCAAGAGCCAGCAGTCAAAGGACAGAGGATCAATAGGAAATTGAGAACAAAGCAAATGAAAGCTCAGCCACAAAAAAACAACCATCAGAAACCAAACATTTTGTTACTTTTCCAGTTTAGGAAAAGAATGTAAGATGCACTAATGACATGTCTTGAAATAAAGTGTGAAATTTGCGACAAATTAGTAGTCCGGGTTCTCCAGGTTGAATTTCTAATCATTTAATCAAAAGAACCGATTTTCCCCATACAGAGATATCTAATGCTTAAGACCAAAAAAGCCTGGCACATTGCCTGGGCAAAGGCTTTAACAGCTCTTTAAGCCAGTGACCGGCCATCGCTTTGAAAGAATTTTGATGTCCTGCAAGTTTTACTTTAGACATTGACTGAGCAACATATTTTTGTTACGACGATGTTAAGATAGCGAGCTCGACCAGCCAGGAAGTTCTTAATTATTCAGCAGCACAGCAGCAACTTCTTTTGTTACAAACACAACTCAACATCTGCAAGAACTGTGGGGGTTTTTTTGTGTAAAAAACCAAACCAACAACAAGAAGCACATATTCACAGCACCAACACAGCTTCTGAAACAGCCTCAACTGCCTGTTTCATTGTAAAGCTTTAGCAGCATATTCATTTCTGAAAAGGACAGCAAGGTAGGGGAAGAAAGGACCTCTCAAAAGAACACAATCACAGCCTAAAGCTGCGCTCATTCATAAGCTCTACTTACTGTCTTCTTCAGTGGAATGTGTACCTTCAGATATGTAGATTTCCAGCTAGAGGAGAGATCGTTAATGTTAGATGCGTACATCAACAGTTGAATATATTCATTACTGGAAGAAAAAAAAAATTGTACAACACACACACACAATGCATGTCATTCATACTTCTAAAAGGTTCACAGACGATGAAGAGGGATCGATAACAAGAGCTGATCTTAGATTTCACTGCAACACAATCACAAGACAATCTCCTCTCCCATTTCAGAGAGGCCCCAATAATCTTTCTTCAAAATTGTGGAGGCATTCATTCCTCACCAATATCAACAGCTTCTGTGAAAAAATAATTGCGATTAGGCTACTGGAAACAAGAGCAGAGAACTGGCACTCCTTTCCCAGAAAGTTCTCTGCAGGCCACAATTCAGGAACTTGTTTAAAAGCCACCACAATTGCAAGTGTCACTTTCACAGGCTAAGCACTCCTGAAAAGACCTCCTTAGGAAGAGATTCCTGGCGCTCCATGATGAGAATCACAGATACTCGATTTGAAAATGGTCGTGTAACGCAGTGTCCATGTCCTGCATGGGAACAGATTCTAAGACTAGAATCTAAACAGACCTCAATCACCTTGATGCATCCAACAGGCCTGGGAAAAACAACAACAAAAAAACCCTCTCACACATGTTGAGCTGCAAGGAGATCTCATAAAACTGACCTAGCAAAGGAAAACCAAGTCAACAAATCCTATGCCTTTTATCTTATCTTCCTGAAGCTAAACCTATTTGTTACCATGTGTCCAGCATAACAAATCGCTGTCTACCTAATTTACTAGAAACATAAGTCTCGCTTTACACTGTTTAGCTGGAAAGATGAAGCTAGCAACTATAACACCAAAACAACAAGAACAAAATCAACACCAGAAATCCTAAGCTAATGAATTTATACTTTAAATTATTTCAGGCAAGTTTCTAAAGGTCTGTAAGAGACTGTATTTGTCCTTAAAGGTCTACTCTTAGTTCATGCGAAGACCCAAACAGCTTTCCTTAAGGGTGTATTAACCCCCTGCTTCCTGTATAGCTTCTTACACTCCAGCAGCACAGCCAGGGCTGGCCCCTCTTAGGGACAGTATATCGACCCTGGTCAGGCCCATATGCTATCTACACAACAGTTCCTAAGATGCAGGTCAGGAAGACTCCCTCAGTGCAGTTCCGGTTTTGAATTCTGCAGTTCTTCTAAACCCTAATGAACCTGTTCTGAGGGTTTTGCTTCCCAAATGACGCCTACACCAAGCAGTAGAACTCCCCTTAACTGGTTTCTAACTGATGACAGGGTAGCGCTCTTGCTTTCAGGGAGGGTTGGTACACTGGAAACAACTCTCAGATATTCCAAATAGTACAGCAGAGTCAGTAACTATTAATACTTTATATTTATGATGCCTAGATAATACTGAAATATTGCAGAAGGCCAAATTCAATTTCCCCAAGGCCAGAGTATGACTTAGATTCTTTGCAACCTTGGATTTGAAAACACCCTCTCTTCCACCAAGCAAGAGCCCCAATGACAGTGGGTGAGGAAATCCCTTGAAACATGGTGTATTTCAGAAGTGAAGCAATAAATGGTCTTTTGTAACGGAAAGGAAGAACCACCGTGATTCACCGATCCCTTCAGGCGCTACACTGTACTGCAGTGGTCACTCCCTCCATAGGCAAACAAGCTATAAAAAGACCCCATCCTTAATCACAGCTTGCAAGTTACTTGATCCTGCAGCAGACACTCTTCCAAAGAGAACCTGGCATACATTCACGTAGTTTAAAGTACGTTCCAGAACAGATACTTTACCTTATGTCTAAAAGGCAAACATCTCTGAAGTTTTATTCTTAAACAAAGGCCTGTTCGAACAAAACAGATAAGAGATTTTCTTGTAAAATTCAAGGTTTGAGATGCGTTTTCAGAGAATCCATATTTAACAACCAGAACCCACCAGTATAACTGACAACCTCCTTTTGCATTCTGAGCAGCACAAGCCACAGAGGAGACTAACAATTCGTGCTTTGACCCTTAGGACATAGCATCTCAGTTAAGCTCATACCTGCCTTACAAGCTTAGGAGGTCTCTGGTCTCTAAACATCTCCTAGAAACACTAAATACAGACAAATTCCTCCATTTCCAGCTTGCTTTTCTATTTTTGAAAGAGCGTCCTGGCTGTCACTGTGGCTGCATCTGTACAGAGAAGAATGCTTGTTTTGTTTTTTTAACATTTGTTAAAAAATGCAACATAAAGTGCTTGGAAAACACAAGCCTGCAGCGCCTTGGGGGCAATTCAAGCTCGTAACTTCATTATTTAACATCTAACGTACAGACCGAGCAGAGGAGCGTTGTCGTTCACGTTTGGGAGCGAGATCCAAGTTTGGGGACATCCCTACCACTAGCCCACTGCAATTTCCCCACAAGGCCTGGCTTTGCGATGAGCTACGCACAGACAAAGCCATACCGCAGCCCCAGTGTGTCCTCAGGCTGAGCCAGTGGTAACAGCAGTAGAAAATACTCCCCAGAAGAACTGCCGGCTTAGAGTACTCTGTACAGATACGGAAGTTTGGAGAAAAAACCTGCTTACTGCCTACAGTCTTACATATACTACCCAACCATCTGAAAGAGTTACCATAACCCTTTCCTGGAACAACGGTTTGAGGAACTGCGCTTCAGAGGTCACACAATACTGGTAACGCTGCACAATCAAACAGACATCAAAGCCCTGGCTGACATTGAAGTGCTGAGAACATGATTAGCACGGAGTTTAAGATTTGACACGTACATCACTGATCCTCAGGTCTGAGCCTTAACCCACTGACATTCCTAACAGGGTCAAACTATAAATAAATTATTACTGTTTGGCGTGCTAAGGCTTTACTATCTATACTGTACTTCCTACATAAAGCTGCAAAGGTTTATTGGGGCATAAATACGTGTACTTCTTCATTAAATTAAAGATTTGCTTTCCCTTAAATCTTTAAAATAGACTGATAAATCTTACTACTGACATATAACGGTCAGAGTTGCTAACCTTGGTACATATAAACAAGTCATTTCGGAGACCTCAGATGTGATTTTTCAGATGCGATCTCACCACAAATAAGAAGGAAGAAAAAAGCAAAATAAGCCAGTGTAGATTCTCATTCAACTTAATTGCTTTCCAACTCTGAACAGTCCGGATTTTTTTTTGTATTCTTGGATTGCGTGTGGGGTTTTTTGTACATGTGTGGGAATGGAGAACAGTCCATAAGGTAAGGAAAAGATAAGGGAAGCAATCATAAAGTTTTAACATTTTTTTAAATTTAAGAGCTGACAATTTCTTTAATTTAACATTACTAAAATAATTTGGAAAATATAAAGGAATTCTGTACCACTTCCCAGTAGATCTTTGAGAGCTTCTCTTTGAAGAGTCTCCCTAACTTGATACAAACAGATGCATGTCCCGACATTTCTTCCGTTTTTTGTTTGTATTGCTACTAGGGTTCCCAAGATGAAATTTCTGGTCAAACTGCTGGCAAAGCAATGCTGAATTTTAACTAAGACTGATGTTATTCTGATAACCTAAAATTAACTCTATGCTCATTGTTAGAGATTTAATGAAACGGAAATCTTACCGATGAGAGTAGCCAAAGAGCAATGAGGTACTGTTGGTGTAAACCTGATGATGACCAGATATTCATCCTCACCTATCTCATGCACTTCCACACAGCTTTCTGTTACCACTTCCAGTTCTTCTAAAGTATTAGGTTTCTCCGGGTCCCGGATAGTACGGATTATATCTAAAGCAGAAGACAAGTGACCAACAATAATGTAGCTTTCCTGAATTTAATAAAAGGTACTTTTATTAGAAACCATCTTCCCAGCATTGTTTATTTTGCTCCTCTTCAGAACAGGCAGAGCTGGAAGTATCAGTGACACATTATCTCACAAATTGCTTCAGAACCGGGCAAACTGAGGCATTTATAGCTCACTGTGCACGTACTTTTCACATTCCAGTGCTAAACTTGCTATTATTTTTACAATCCCATTATAATAAACAGAAATCAAAACATGCCTATCAAAGGATATGCATCACCTTTGGAACTACAGGCCATTTAACATTAACCTAGCCAAAAGCTATACACAGATGTAGTATTTCAGATCGGTTTGCTTGCCTTTCAGGTTTTTCAAAATCTAACTTATTAACAAGACAAGCCAGATTTCCTTCTCATCGTCTTCTCTCCGCTTCCCAGCCTGGGCCTCGCAGATAAGATTTTTGAAGCCATCCTAAGGAAAGCCAATACAAAAATAACGCACTAATCCATATTTATCTGTATCAATGGTTGCTTCCTTAGCTTGTAAAATGTGGAAATCAACTAGTTTTAATGAAATCAATGTTTTAATATACCTGCATAGAAAATGATAAGCAGCATTGCCTTTTATAGAAGCAACGTGGTCTGGATTAGCTTAAGGAGGTTTCATTGTACAATGAAGCAGAATTACATTTCTTGTTGCTTTTTCCATAGAGCAAAAGGTTTTAAAGTAATATTCAATAGCTACCATATGTGATGATAGGGCACCGAAAAATAACACACAAGAGAGTGTATGAATTCAGTAAATTACCTAAGAGCCTGAAAAAAATAAGCCTCTGCACTTCAGCATCTTTGCTGAGTAATGCAGCACAGAAGGCAAGGCAACGAGGTCTCTAGCCCATTCACATCTGGGCCACGCGCACAGCGTAACTTGAAGAGACATGAATTTTGGCAGTGAAGGCCAAACCTGGGAAGTTCCCGGCTGTCACCTCTCACTTGCTTCTGCCTTGTATGCAGTTGCTTGCCCCTCAGAAATGCAAGTACAAGCATTTCTGGTATAAATACGGTAACTAGAGGGATACAGGTTAAGATCACTTAAAAAACCCCAAACCAAACCACAAGGTTAAAGAAAAAGAATGGGGAGGTATTTTTAGCTGCTGCAGTGATTTTCTTTCTAGTGTAGCCCTACCAATAGCTCTCCTACAATAGCCAACTGTATTGCAAAAGCAAACGTGACACCAGCCTTCACCACAGCAAATTACTTCAGCCTATCTTCAGGTACAGACAGACCCACCCAGCTCTCGAGAGCTGCAAAGCTGCTCTCGGCCC